TAGTGATCTCTCTTTGTTTCGAACTCTTTTGAAAACAACATAGAAATCTTAGTTAGGTTAAATTTATAAGTTATGATATTTTTGCATAAGATAAAAGATTAAGACAATATATTCATATAAAACATATATGCTGTTTAATCTTTTCTGGACCAACACAATTGGATAAGAATTCTCTATAGTCATTTATGTTCTTTCTTTTTAGTTTTTTTGTCAACATGTGAAAGCAAGTTTTTTTTTTTTTAAAACATGTGAAAGCTATTTATTTCTGTTTATTTTGATGTCGGTATATGTGTTTGTTTGTCCATGAGTGGAATATAAATTTAAATTTTTATCCGGCGAAATAAATGGCAAGTGATTTTGATTCTTAATATATATCCCACATTTATTTTGCTTGGTTATACGGCGAATCATACTAGATTTGGAGAAGATTAAACGCAATCAAAATTAAAGAGAAGATCGACGTGGAATATGCTTCACTGTTTCAGCTTGATTTGTAACCTCTATTTTTTCTTGGAATAAATCAAATTATCCGAATATTTTTTTTGATATGATTATAGCTTCACTTCACCGTCAAAATCTGCAGGCATATTCTTGGCTGAGATCGGAATTTCCGGTAAAAAGGATCAAATATACAACAACCACGTACGTTCATATAGACCAAATGTCAATTAAAAAGAGAGACCAAAATGCAATATCTTCTGTAGTGTTAAAAATGAAATGTGATATATCGTAGTTAAGTCTACCAAGAATAAATAGGAAATAGATTCCATATTTTGTGAGATAGTTTATATTTTTTTCCGTAAAATTAATCCCCATAATGGAGAAGCCTTCATTAGCCATTTATATCCTAATTTAATCTTTCTTCTCAAAATGTGATTTCTCTTTGATTTATCTTTTGGGATTTTAGATTGACCAATTTTTATGTTATCTTCATATAGCATTCTACCTTTTTCGTAAACCACATTATGGCACAACATTTGTCTCCCTATCCAACCATTATCCATATAATTATCCATTTTTTATTATTAACGAAAAATTCGAACAACAACCCATCTCCTACATAGTTTCAAATAAAATTTTAAAAATCAAAGTCTAATATTCGAGATTTGAGGATGTCTATGAATAACACTTTAGTCCATAATAATGCAATTCAAACAAAAAAAAATATTAGAAGAAAAAAAGCTACACTACTACCTTCAAGAGTACATAAGTCGATTTCACATGATCGAATTATTATTCAAATCTTGAAAAAAGGGAAGGAGATAGAGATTGTAGTGCATGCATATGCAAAAGATAAATAATCACCACGATTTTTTTTTCTTTTCTTTTTTCATTCTATTAAAGAGAAGAAAAGAAGCAATGTAATAAAGTACTTATCCAGATGACAAAACACAGTAAGTAGAAAACAAAAGTAGAAAAAGCAAAGTTTATCCACAACCACAAGCATCTGTAAGTAAAGACACGTGACAGTGAGGGAAGAGAACAGAAACGGCGGCAGAGCCACGTGGGGATCACGTGAACCCATCACCTTCTCATCAGAAGTTGGTTATATAACAGACCGTTGGGAGTTAGGGCAAAAACCAAAAAAATCATCATCACAAACAAAAACTATCATTATTATCCATTTCTCTTCCCTTAGATTCTTCTCACTCAACAAATTAACA